TTAACGGTTCCCTACTCTACCACTAGATCAGTAGCACACTTAGTACACCATATCTGGAAGAACTTAGCCTGCAAACGCTACGTAGTAAAGGACGTCTGGCACATTCAACTGATGTATGGAGGTACACGGGAGGAGGTGAAGCTACATCTCGCAGCGGTTAGGTAGGGGGGGGTAAAGGTACAACGCTTGTTGGCATTTTAACCTCCGAAGAGTCTGAACTAAACCAACTCATCAATCTTCAGGAAAGAATGTCTTGCCAGACCCGTGTACAAAGTAGCTAAGCTGCAGTGCAACAAGCTTCGTACATGTACGCCCNNCCCCCCCCCCCCCCCCCCCACCTGCCACGATCTCCGTCTCAAACACTGGCAGTCCGTGCATGTAGCTTTTTTTGCGAAACTGTTGCATTACTATGCAACCCGAAACACCCAAGAACAGCTAGATCAGTAACACCACCAGTTTCCATGCAAATATATGAGCGAGCCACCAAGACCCCAACTAAATCCGTTTCGTTGCCCTTGACCGCAATCTTTGAACGGGCGTGGCGCTGGTCCTAGACCTTCGTTGCTGTATTAAGCTAGGCTTGGGCTTCTGAGTTTTACTTGCCGTGGGCTCGAAAGCGTTGATTGATCACCTGCCATGCTTCGCTTTTGCCGCCTTCCTCTCTTCAATGCACTTCTCGAGCTTGGCCCTTAGTGAAGGCTTTGTCTTTTTCGCAGTCGTTCGGTTTAGCGCCCGAAACTCCACACACCCTAGACTCTAGACCATGAACCTCACTGTCTTTTCTGTCAGGGTGCTCTTGCAGGCGCTGGGAGTAGTTCCAGTAGAACCCTGATACCACGGAAGGGGGATACCGTCAGCAGTTTGCAATAGACCGCACGTCCTGAACTGAATCTGTTCAAGCAATTTCGCGCTCCTTCTTGACCGTAGATTTCGATGCGCTGAGACACGCTTGTTCAAGAACGGCCCAGCAAGCCCTAAACCTTCAGCCACAAACCCAAGGCCTGAAAACTGATCCCTAAACCTTACAACCCTCAACTCAAGACTGAACCCAGGCCCTAAAAGCCTTGATGCCCCCAGCCTTGAAGCTTTGCACACTGGCATCCCCAGCATGAAGCCCCGAAACCTCAAGCCTGAAAACACCCTCTTCCCCAATTCCTGCCACCATGAAGATTCAAAACCACCAAATGCAGGCTGGAGGGTGCTATGATTCCTAGGATAAGCCTGAAATCCTACGAATATATCACCCTAAGATTCCAAAGGACCCAACGTAGCGTAGCAACTGAGTGGCTGGGGAAATCCCAAACAGAAGCCCGAGAAAGCAAAGAATGTAGTTCAGTTTTTGGGATTAGGGTTTAGGGTTTGACTTGGGGTTTTAAGATTTTTGTGGGGGGAAGCTATGGTTCCTAGGCACCTCAACACTTAAGGCAAGGCATGGCACCTGTAAGCCCAAGCCAAGCCACAAAGCCGAGTGGGAGAACTCGCCGTCCCGATGGACAGCCCAATGTCCCATGGGGTAGTAGCGGTTGAACCCGACCACCTCGGAATGGATTCATGCGGTAGCAGGAATTCCAAGCCCTCCTGCTCAGGGTTTGGGCCTGCAGCGCAACCGGACACCACAGAACCCCTCCGTGCAGGACTCTAGCTACAGCCTCTCTGCGTCATATGATTCAATCACGAGACTGCAATGCTGTCGAATGTGCAAACAGGAAAGAGCCGAAGCATACCCCTGCTAGAAACCCTTGATGGGACACGATGGAGCACCTACAAAACAGTCGTTAAAGAAAACCTCAAAGAACCTTGCATGGAGTGGCTGCTCTTAACAGCGTATGGAGATCCAGTCTGCAAGGCCCCGTGTCCAAATTCTACGTCCCCTTACGGGGACGTGGCCCGATTGAGGGGAAAAAAGTCTATTGAATTGCTCGGACCCATCATTAGCAGCTAGTTCTTATGGGTTACCAGGTTTTCTGATGAAGGAGGCTAACAATGAGCGCCCTTGAACTCTAGGCCGTGGAGGTCGAGCCACTTCTTTGGCGGACAGCCTGTGCTTACCAGCCGACCGTCAACCGAACGCCCCAAACTCGAAGACTGATGTAATCCCAAGTGTGCCCAGGACTCGTTGCAAGCATCGCGACGCAGTTTGGATTGAAGACCCCCGGTACCCAGGCAAAGCTGCTCGGCGACAGCAGAAGCACATCGGCCTCTACTGAGAGGGTCTTTGAGGGCCTACAAGCGGTGCGGGCAACTATCATAACATACCGATGTGGGCGGTTGATCGGCAGTCAAAAACCTAAACCCTCAGCCCCCTTGCAGATTGAGGCCTAAACATTAAGCCCTAAACCCGAAGCCCCTCTTTGGGGGTTGATCAGCAGTGCGGAATGCCTGCATCATGTGGGCCCAGTCGTCCACCTCATTGCCATCCTGAGGAAGTCTTACACTATAGGATCCTTGAGAACTTTCAAAAGGATCTGGCTCTTTTGAGGCTACCAAAAGGTCAACACAGGGGCCTGCAGAATCGGAAGTGCGCTTGGCGGTAGATGATGGGGTGCTGACACGATGACAGCAGCGAACTGTGGGATGCTCAGGTGCTGGGAAAAGGGGCTTAGGGTTTCCGGATTGTGAAGGTTTTGCGGCACGGGGTTTGGGCTCAAGGCTTAAGAGAGCTACCAAAGGCCAAGCAGGCTTCTTGGGGCAATGGCTCAGGGTCAGATCCCATTGGCCTAAATCGTAGACCTTTTCAAGAGTGAACTCATACCCTTGTCATCATCTGCGGGAGGAGAGAAGGAGAAAACAGGCAGGTTGCATACGCATGGTAGGCCAAGAATCGAGTTCTGGGGTGAGGCTAAGTGGAGTGGAAACAAAGACTGCAAGTGCCCGGTGCAGGATCGGGCTCCCCGAGATCCTCCTCCTACCATACCGCTGCTGCTGCTGCTACTACTACTACTACTACGACGACGACGACTACTACTACTACTTCTACGACGATTATTATTCCTCCTACTCCTACCCCTCTGCTCCTACTCCTACTCCTCCTCCTCCTACTTCTACTCCTGCTACCACTACACATCACTAGAACCACTACTACGACGGCTACTACTGGTATACTTGCCCCGAGTAGAACTGGTACTTTGGCGCCCGAAAAGGCGGATTCGGTCCCGACACCGCGTGAAGAATTGAGCTACCCCTCCCTTCAAACCGAATGGCCCAAAACCACAAACCCTGGAAACCCAGACCCACAAAACGAGGCCATTTCAGGCAAACCCTAAATTCCCCTCACTTTCCAGCAAGCATCCAGATGGACTTTGGCACCCCGGTTGCGGTAGCCTCAACGAGTTTAGGGCTTTCATGGTGTCAGGGTCGTAGGGGTTTAAGGTCTTTGGGCCTTATATGCTGTGCAGTACAGGATTCACAGTTTCAAAGGCGGCCGCGCTCCTGCCTGAGTTAGTTAAGACTACTTAAGAGCTTTAGTGTAGACATGCATGTGACAAGAAAAACAAACACACACGCACACACACTCACACAAACACCACACTCACAGATACACGCGAACAGACAAACAAATAGACACACAAGCAAAGACACGAACGCGCACACACACACACACACAAACATGCTTGAAACAGTGAACCTACCTGCAAGCCGCAGTGCACATCCTCTACACCCTGCTCCCCAAATCCCACAAACTGGGACTGATTGCACTGTAGTGTTTCCCTCCTCCCACATGTTAGTTTTGAGGCGCTCTTGAAGGAAGCAGGCTTGTAGTTCTTCTCGGTCGAGCTGAATACCTGCTTCTTGGTGCCACAGCGCTTTCTGTGAAAGTCGAATTCTGGGTCAGAGCCAACGTCAATGGAGTTAAGGTTACTGGTGCATCCACTACCGACCTGTTTTTCAAGACCGTGCCCTAGAAGTGCGCGGGGAGCCATCACGCACTAGTTCTGGTCGGCTTTGGGGATGAAGCCCACAAGCCCTGTAAATTACGAGGTTCGGTTGTGCCCCCAGAATTACAGGTATAGCCTCTTAAAAGCAGGGGTCAGGCCCCGGTGAAGGGTTCGGGGATTGGGGGGATGTGGCCATACGCTGCAGCTCACCATCCGTCGGATAGAGGAGCCTGAAAACATGTAGAATCAGATTATTGGTACTTTGTCGTCACATTAACTCCGCAGGGGCTCTGAAGAGGGTATTGCTACTGCTGATGCCCAAAACAGTAAGGCTAGCAGGGGAGCTGTGAGGCGGTTCAAAGTGATGCAAGATTTAGGGCATCAACCGTATTGCTAATTTTTCAGATCTCTGTCGGATGGAACAAAAGTGAGGGGAGACCTTAGGGTTTTGGGTCCCACCAGTCGTAGCCTTGATAGAGACGGAAGGTCCGTCACGATGGGTATTTAGGGTACCATCGAGGGTTACAAAGCTTGGGGGCCGGACGAAGATCTCAACGTTCTGCAGCTCGGAACTGGATCCTTACTATCCCCCAAAAACGAAACGCGGGACCAGAAACATCTGGAAGACTCAGCTCAACTCACCCCCCAACCCCTCCCGAAAAATCAGCTGCTGTACGGCGGGGGGGATTGGGGGGGCCTTGGAGTTTACACCAAAATAAAGGTTTGGGATGGTTTGGGGGTTTATCGGTTTACGGGTTTCCCGGCTTGCCGGACGGCAGTGTGGGCGGTTTGAAGGATTGACAAGGGCGCATGGATCTCAACATCGTCGCCCGCGATCGCCCGCACGGTGTTCATGATCCTGTGATACATCTCGTCCGGCATGCCTGCCGCTGCATCGTCACAGCTGAGGCTTGTGACAGCAAGGGCCTGGGTCGGGATCTTCGGCTTGAAGCGATCTCTTACGCGGAGTTTAGGTAGTGCTCTTGTCTGGGCTTCTATACCCACTTTCTTGTCTTGCATGTTTCCGGCTGTGTGTAGGTTGGTGAGAAGGCCTCGCTATGCACGATTCCAAGTCAGTACATTCCTAGAGTAGACTGAAGCATAGTCCACTTTTCGGGAGCTCCCTTTCAGGGGAATGTCGGACTGGCACGAAGCCGCTGCCCAGCTGAAGTTGTTTTAGATCGGCTTAAGCCACAAATTCAAAACCCAAAGAAAATTAGCCGGCGAACCCCAAACCCTCAAAGCTTCACTGGAGAGCTCGCTAGGCTCAACCCCTAACCACCTCGGTTGGTTCCGATGTGCAGGTCCCCTCGCCGCAGGTGCATAGCCACCCGCAGTTTCTTCGTCTTGTAATGCCTCACATGGTTTCCAGATGCACTCTCTGTGAATACTGTGGCTCGTGGCTCGCCTTTTTGGGGAGTTGCACATAAATTGCGGATCCCACTAGGAATGATATAAAAGGTCTATAGGGGTTTTGAAGGGTTTTGGCTTGTCCAGTGTCTGTGTTAGGTTCTCGTGTGTTCCGAAACTTTAGCTGGGCAAGGGCCAGGCACTCAACCTCCCGCAGCCCTCCCCCGATCTTCGAGATCGCTCCTTCGTAGAACCCGAAGGGTTTAGGGTTCAGGATTTGGGGTCTAGGGTTCTCGAGTCGACCCATCTTAAGCTCCTCCGTGTCAGTGGGCGGTGGATAGAAGACAAAGCAACACGGATATGAAACAAGGTTTGTTACTACTTACTCGTATTTATACCACCCTGCAGACACTCAAATGCACAGTCTCCAAGTCTGTTAGGAGCACTACACACATTTGGCAAGTACGAAACTTGGTTGAAGAAGCCAAGCACCAAGCAGCGAGCATTTGTTGTCATCGTAACCCTTGTTTATTGAGCTCTATGGCAACAGCTATAGGAGCCTTTGTCGTAGCCCTTACAGTAGCCCTTAAATAACCCGTGCCCAAACCACAACCCCTAGTATAGTAACCTGACGGTTCATAAGCGTACACACTGAATTCTCAGCTTCTCCCTGTATGTCTCAACCCTGGTGAGGCCAGTCGAGCGAAGTGCTCGGCTAACAGAAACGCACAAGGTTTTGTCTTTGACAGGGTCTTATAAGATGTCGATGGTCTCGATGGGTTTTTAATGGGTAATATAAGCATCGGAGAGATTTAAAATCTGATGTATGGGGTTGTGGAGCTGCGTCCCTTCATAGCACTATCTCTCTGATTCATTCTTGGAGCTGGAAGACTAAGACATTGCCTAAGTTCCAGAGGAAGAGCGCCAATAGCGGCAAAGACAAACGGGGCCTGGGAATGCCTGAACCTTCTCTGTGCAGATGTGCAAAAACAAAGTGCAAAAAACAAAAGTGCGTAAAGAAAACAGCGAGGGCGACACGAAAGCGCGAGAGAGAGAGAGAGAGAGAAATTAAACAAGCATCATCCCTCGTCTGACAGCTTAATCCATGAATAGCCTATAAACTTACGCCCTATAGACCTTAAATATCCCTAAACCCTACAGTACAAGGCTTTGCTTGCATGCCAAACCCTCGAAGCCAGAGCACGGCGTGGCTCTCTTTAGCAGAGGTGTGGATCGTCGGAGCTGATCCTGATCTCAATACTCTAGGGGCAGGGTTCCCAGTGAGGGCTCTATCAGGGTTTAGGTTTACAGGGTAAACTTCAGGGTTGTGCCTTAAAGGTTGATAAGGGGATTTAGGGGTTGGGGTTAGGGTCCACGGCTTGGGGTTCCTCTTCTTTGGGGCCTGTTGGTTTGGCGTTTTTTTCGTTGAGGACTTGGGGCTGGGGCGGGATTTGGATCGAGGGTCGGGTTGGGTGTGAAAGGCTTCCGGGTTGAGGGTTGCAAGTGGTTCTTAGTTGTTGAATTCATAAGCACCAAAAAAAGTCTACACTTTCAATTCTATAAGGGCTCATCTTATCCCGAAAAGTTTTTAAAGTGCAGTAATTCAGCTCCAAAGGTTGTAGGTGTCAGCACGCACACTCGCGCGGTCACATGCAGTTCAAGGCTTACGGCGTACGGTCATCAGTGACATAGACCTGAAATCCCCGGTGTGGTCGGGGAGTGGGCTTGACAGCATGATTTGCCTGTCACCTGGATAGGGGTATAACGGGATCATGCAGAGGAAGGCTTGGGAGGTTCTCAATTCTTTTATAACACCAACTTCAATGAATGTATCTGGCTCAGAAACCCAAAATCCCGGGTTCAAAAGCCCCCAAGGCACCACAGGATCCACATCAAGCTCCAGGCTTGGTAAAGGGCCCTACAAGTCCAGTTTGAGGTCTTTAATAAGAACTCACACAAAAGGGTAGGTTATGGTAGTTTATGGTAGTTTAGGGTAAAGCTTGGGGGAGTTTAAGGACCGGAATGCAGGGCTTAGAGCATCTCGGCCGCACCAAAATCAGGTCGTGGCGGCACGAGTTCTTAAAGATCTAGGTTGCAAAGTGAACCCTCAGAAAAAAGCACTGCAACTCCGAAAGCATGGTCTCTAATATTCGCACTGGGCGCGAAAAGGGAAACCTGTGCGACTTCAGAATGCGGTACACAACGGTACTCTGGGCGACATAGGAATTCAAGTGTAGAGTGCATCTCTGAAAAAGCATGGCATCGAATGTAGGGCCCTTAGTAGTTAGAATAGGGTTTTGGGCTCCTTGTCTGTTCTTAATACACAAGAAGGAACTCGAAGGAAGAGTATTGGGAACTATATATTTTGGCTTCTGTCTCTAGGGGCATCGATTTGCACATTACGACTCTGCACAACAGCGTTCACCCTGGAGCCTTAGAATCGCAGCTACCTGTGACGATACATTCACAGAAACCAATCATGTCGGCAACTGGGTTCCCTTCTTAGGGAAGGTTTGGGCTCTTGCGGTTCAGGCTTCGAACTTCACATCCTGACCAGTGTTGAAATCCCTGCAGCGGTCCCTGCAAGCTGCGACAACAGAAAGAAAACAACAACTCTGCAAACCCAAGCTCTTGTGACGAAGCCGAGGATCTAGGAAGCTCGGCGTAAGAAGCTCACTGTTGTGGACCTGTTGGCGCGACATCCGATCTGACTGCTGGCTGGTGGCATACGAAGGACCTCCGAGTCCAAACCCTGGCTTCTTCCAATTACAGGATTCAATGGTGGCCCTGAACCCTACGGTAGGTATTGTTTGCCTGAAGCCCAAAACCCTAAACCGATTAAAGACACGCTTTAGACTAGACCGACCCAGACAAGCCTGGCTTTTGGGGCCTGCGGCTTCGTATGGCTAGGGCCTCAAAGGTCGGAATTGCTGGATGCTTTCAAGCCGAGTGTCTTCTACGTATTTCCTAGCATGACGTGGAAACCTCGGATGAATTACCTAGACCTAGGCCTCAAGGTCAGTCCTCACCTCATGCGCATGAACACAACTCCCCCGACCTTCACTTTTCCCTGCGCCATGCTCCGAGAAGCTAATATTCCGAACACCCCAAACCCAAAATCACTTTGCTGAATGCAAGCCCAAGACACTTGAGAACAGCCCTGTTGGCCTAAACCCGATGGAAATGTTAAGCCCTGGTCATGGCTGCAAAAGCTACGGATCCCCGAAAGTCTACTCCACGCGAGTGAACCCTTTGGGCCCAGAACTTGAAGCCCTAAACCCTGCATATCGGCAGGCCCAGCTACCATGCCCGTGATGCAGCCCACAAAGAGCACATCTTGTCCGTGGTGCCATGGCGCCCCCTGATCGGTCATGATAGGGCTGGGCTTCCATAGGGTTTCATTCATCGGCTTTGGCCATGGCCTCATATGGTTTTGAAGGTGTTAGGGCTTTCGGGGGAATTCGGGCCGCAGCAAAATCGAGGTTTTGGTGACATGAATGAGTGAACGATGGGCGAAATCATGATCATAATCTGAAGGTGGGTTCCGAATAAACAAACTTACTTCAGATGCCAAATGCCGAATCTGCAACCGGGTTTTGGGTGACATGATATTCTAAGACTACAAGTAGAGCAGGGAGAACAAAGGAACAGTACAAGCATTTAGTTAGACTTCAGTATTGGGAAGCTCTCCCCTGCTGCTTGAATTTGGCTTAAGGTTTACCGGTTTGAAGGTTTACGGTTTCTACGGGTTTGGGTCCCTCGTGAAGGGATACTTTTCGGTAAGGTACGAGGTCATCTCACGTCTCAATGACTCAAGCCCACCCGAAACCTCAGCACCCCAATCATCCCATTAGTTGGTAGGTGTTTAAAGAGGAAATCCGAGTATCGACCCGCCCTAAACAGTAGCTATAGGGTTCTTTTCGCAAGAACCCCAATTTCAAGCAGCTGGCATGCTTTGCGGCGTCCAAGATCTGCTGCTCATCTACGAAGTAGCAATGGTCGAAGTGGGGCGCATGAGCCTGCAAGACAAGTCTCTGTTTGGGTTTCATACTGTTTCACAAGTATTGTAGAAGGCTTCTCTACTGTTGCTCTATGGAGCGTAATGTGTAGCGGGCTCGGTGCCTTTGTGTTCGAGTCTTGGAGGGATGCGTAGGCTGAGGATTTAAGGGTTGGATTTGGGGAAACTAAGCGTTTCAGGCTTGGGGCTCCAAGAGATCTGTACTTCATTAGGGTCCTCCATGTTTGCATGCATAATTAACGAAAGCAGCGCTAACAGTTGACCCCCCCAAAATGGGTGCACGGTTCATGGATCCAAGGTTCCGCTACAGAGTTCAGTACAGTACGTCCAGTCACCGTGGTGACAAACCTGCAACCCCGAACCAAGCGAGTTTCGTTTCACGCTCAGAACACTTTCGGAGACTTACAGGTAGCGCTTACAGGGTTTTGTTCAGGTCTTTCCGCTTAAGGCCTGGAAGAGATAAGCCCGTCTGGAAAGGCGGCGCCTTCTGTAAGATGCGGCGATAGGAGGTGCCGAGCAACTCAGTCATGCCTTGGCCGGGCGGAAACCCCTGGCCCAAAACACAAATTAAGCCCTAAACCCCAATCGTCTTGCTATCCAAAGAACCCCAAACCATCCATAAGAGAGCGAACTTCACAACACACAAGCTCCTTTCCTTGAGGGTTCGAGGGTTTAGGGCTTCATCGGCGGCTTTTCGACTTTCGGCTCTGGAGGCTGGGAGCTTTTGGGCTCTGGCGAAGACCCGTCACGGTTACGGGTGTAGGGCTGAGGGTTTCGAAGGTCTATGGCTCATGTAAGCTTTATAACTTTAGTTCAGGGTATAGTATAGGATTGCTGGGGATTGTGGCTTCGGCTTGGGTTTATAATAATAAGAAGGTTTAGGGCTTAAGGTGCAAGGGTCCGAAAGAGTGCATATAACAGACACAATAATTCTATGATTCTATGGGACCACACGGGAAATAATTAATGGAGAGCACAGACTAGAGCCGCCTAGTTTCGGATTTCGCCTGACCTACGGCATTCGCACCTAATGTTTAGGGCTTCTACTCGCTCACTTTCGGCGGTGACGAGAAAGGTCCGTAGGCTCTATAGGCTTTAGGGCTGCCTGCGAAGCATTCGAGGCCTTCGGACAGCACACCCGGTTTAGGGCTTAGGGCTTACCCAAAGGGTCCAAAGTACCTGTATGGTAGAATGTAGGGTTTCTATACTAGGAATCCTTATTATAATTTGGGAAAGTATCCCCCATAACAGTACCTAGGACCCTTTGGGTTAGGGTAGGTCCTGGCTGCACTGCTTGGCAACCTTGGACCTTAAGGGGGGATGGCCCACGGCCACGTGTCCAGACCCCTGTGAATCTCCAGCAGCAAACTATCATAACAGATGGGCGTTATAGCTATAATAAATAATACGAAACTCCCAACCCTGATCCCTAAACCCCTAGACCCTATGCCGTGTACAGTTTCTAAATAACCCAATCCCTAAACCCAGGAGTCGTCTCTAAGCAGATGCCGACACATTGCTTTAGAAGGCCTCGTGGTTTCGTCAAGTAGTGTAAGAGCCTGCGGTGTCGGTCGGTGCAGGCTGACCTGCAGTTGGGGCTTCCAGAAATTGGGTCCCTTAGCTCCGATAATCCTACATGAACCCAGTATTCAAACTGTAGTTTACATATACATTGACAGGGGCCCTGGGAATATCTGATATGAGATTCCTTTAATAGGGATCCTATTTAGGGTTTATTGGCCGAAGAGCTCACTGGCACATAGACGCCGTGGACTTCCTTCTTCGCCTCGACCAGGTTCAGGGCTTAGGGTTTAGGGCTTTGGGTAGTTCTCTAAAGCACGGCCTATAGGTCCCAAGAGAAGCAATATGGCACCTTTTGAAAAAAAAACAAGGGCCCTAAAAGGGATCCTAATTTAGAAAACCACCCGTTTAGTGTTTTGGGATCCTGAAGGTCTAGCTTGAGATGGGGTTCGGCGCCATTCTCATGTCAAGAACCCCCACCTAAGATATCGACTGCCAGCACCCACCCGAGACCGTTCCAGGGAAATCTAAACCCCGTAAGGGTCGTGTGGGTTGACACTTATTCAGGGAGTGTATGTGACTATGGGGAAGTAAGGCTCTGAGGGTAGGAGCCCAACTCTACTTCACCACACCCTAAAGCTAAGACTCCTGAGGCGCGAACCCCTCCCCTCTCCCTGCCCTGCCCTGCCATGCCCTCTGCCCTGCCCCTACCTGGTCCCAAAAAACGCGCTTAAGCCTATAACCCTAAAACGGTGGCTTGGCCGCCTTAGACGGCGTGGGGTGGGAAGAAACAGGAAACAGCCTGTATAGACAGGCTTTCGCAGCTCGATGCGCTCGACACAACCTTGTAGCAAGACACTATCGCCTAAGCGTTTTTCCACGGCCAAACCCCGAAACCCTAAACCCTTAAGCCTTAACCCCTAAACTCACACCTGCTCAAGGAGTCCGCCGAAGTTCATCCCCACTTTGGCGGCCAGCGCCATCCTTTTCCAGGGCTTGGGTAGGGTTTGGGGTGCCTGGGAATCGCGGCTTCGGGTTACTTCGGTTTGATGAAGAAAACGTCAAGATGTATGATAATCCTGTAGTTTCTTTCGGGTTTCGGGTTTCGAAGACCAGAAGACGAATCTCAAAATCATCCGAAACTGCCGCCCAGCGTCATGTTGATCAAGTTGGCTGCCCTCTCTCCTTGGGTCATGTCCCATGCTGCAAACTTGCTCAGAGTGAAACTGAGACCTTGCACAACTCTTTAACTTTGGCATGTTGCCATAGCCCTATAAACCCCAAACCAAAAAAACTAAAACCCTATACTCCGAAACCCTACACCTCAGCACCCCGAGTCCAAGACACGAAGCCCTAGCACATGGAGATGCGCGAACGTCATGGACGTCGAGGAAAAAACACGCACCTAAAACAAGACAACGGCCTTCACGGTGTATAGGGTGTAACGTTAAAACGATTCAGGGTTTAGCAGCTTTCACGCCTGAGGATTTAGTTCCCATTCGGCTAGAAGGAGTTTTCCTCTGGACTCATTCCTACAAAGCGGTACTTCTGGGAAGCCACTGCAGTCCGTGGCCCCCCTACCCTCCAGAACCCCATCAACACTCCGAAAGTATAACTGCGAAGTAATGACAAGCCTTGAACATCGGCAAGAGGTAGCCTACAAGAGTTCATGTATCTATTTTGCTGTCCTCAGCCTCCGCCCGTTGGACCACCCTTACCATCACAAAGGGGGAAGAGCTAGAAATCGGGACCAGGAGGCAAGATACCGAAGCTTTAGCGGCTTTAGCGTGCATTGGAGACATCAGGAGCTGAGGCCCACTCCATCACCAGCCCGTGCTAACTCGAACCCCCCTGCACTCAACGCTTGAGCGACAGAGCATAATCCGAGCAGCCCAGGCCGTCACGCCTTTCGACGGCATACAGAGTCGCTGGTTTCTGGCGCCAGGTTGCATTAGGGTAGGCTACCACCCCGTAGGCAGTTGGACCGTCCCAGCCGTAGTTTCTGAGGCCTCATGATATATCGCGTACATGACAGAATCCGCCCCAAGCTAAGCTCCAGTTCCCATGTCTCGGGCATGGCAGGGCCTGCAGAGATAATTCGGGCTGTTCGGCGGTTGATTCCACATTCAACCGGCCCAGGCCGAGAGGAGCCGAGGAATTCACAGGTAATCCTGGGTGCAAGAAGTATAGCGGGTTGCCTCCACAACTAAACTAGGCTTTCGAGGCGTAGTAGCATAGACAGAACATGCTCACTGCTACTACATCAGGGGCCAGGAAACGCTGAAGTATCACAACTGCTAGTCCTTCTTCTCTTAGCGTTTCTTCTTTTCAGCCGCCTGCGCCCCCAACTTGCAGAGACGGCAGTCGGCAGGGCTCAACTTGTCCTGCTGAGGACTCTGCTGAGGGACTGGGGAGCTGCAAACGGTTTTCGAATCGGCTGACTATATCACTGTATCTGAGTAGTTTTCGAAATGGGAGGGGGGGTCCCTGTTTAGATCCCCCAAAATCTACAGCAGCGTTGTAACAAGAACCCTACAGTCAAAGGGTACCCTACTTCAGAGAACTGCCCATCTGCACAGGTAAGAAGATCTGTCCAAGAGATATCTTCACGAAAGCCGCTTCCGGCCTGCTGGCATGATGGTGACGACTGTTCGATGGGTAGGAAAGAACTGGCAAAGTCTCCGAAGCCGGGATCTGTCTTTGAAAACTTCGGGTTAGACTTCGACGGATCTGGGCTTTGGGATTTGCGCCAGCATGGGACAAATTTTAGTACACCCCCGGCATCCGAAAACAAAGTCTCTCCATCATTCCTGCCTCAATTAGAGCGCAAACCATGAGTCCCCAATTCCTCTTTCCCCAAAAGCCCGACATTGCTAAAACTCAAGCCCGAGAAACCCCAAACCTTTCCCCCTCCGCGATTTGTTTTCGGGCTGAGAGCTTGAGTAGACAACTCCACAGCACGAACATGTGCAAAATTAAGGTCAAGGTTTAGGGTTTACCTGAAACCGAAAAGACCTACTTTTTTGGGGTTCCTTCTTATGGTTTCTATATACAAATTCCTTAAAAGGGTAGGTCTTTACGGCTACAGATAGGGCTCAGGGTCCAGGGCTTGGCGTCTCGGCCGTTTTCTCCCAGCCTTTTAAGTGGCGCTACGGGCCATTCTGCCTCCACTGCCGGAGGATCTACACACTTAGCTGTATGGTTCAGCAGTTATGTTATATATAGTGTTGGGTTTTAGAGGTCCTGCAAAGACACCACAAACCAATGCTAAAGCCCTGAAAAGCGCAAGCCGCCTGAGCCAAACATCCTGAATGGCAAGACTCCAAGCCCTTGCTGATGTACCTAACGGCCTCATTGCGCTACCTGTTCTTGGCCAACCTGCTTGCTGGCAAAAGGATCCTAACCTTGAAAACAAGCTGCCCCAAACGAAATGCAACAGCTCCAAGTCTGGGAAGGTGGGAGGGGACACAAACATCAGTAGACCGTCTGCCCTGAACCCCCACAGCCCCA